AATAGATGGAGGCTGTGGTGGCCATGAGCATGCCACTGTACTCCAGCCTGGGCAACAGAGTGAGATGCCAACTCAAAAAAAAAAAAAAAAAAAGACCTTTTAAATGATTTCTATATCTACAGATGAGATATTCTCATCTAATTTCTCTACTCATCCATCCTACAGAGAGACAAGGCCAGGTTTTGTTCATCTCTGAAATCTGAGCACTTAGCCCAAAGCAGGAAACATAAAAGACAATAAATATGTGTTACATGAGACCTGGCTTTATTGTTTCTCTCTTCAAAAGCTTGTGATGGTTTTCTGTTGCCCACAGGCTGAAGCCTTCTACAGCCAAGCATCACTAGACATCAGTCTTTCTTTCCACCTTATTTCTCATGCAATCTCATGATTCATTTTTTGGTGACTATTCTCCATTGGGCTCATGTTGATTTTCCTGATGCCTCCTTCTTCCAATTCTTCACTTGTCTAAGTCCTACCCATATTTTCAGACCTTTCTCCATTGGTATCTCTATGAGGCCTCCTCAGATTCTTCTCCCATATAATTGGACTGCTTTCCTGCTCTCCCAGTGACTTCATTTCTCCATTATATGACAGTCTACCTTTTATTATATTCCTGAGTAAACAGGATTTCACTTTAAGTGCCAATTTGATCAGTTGGTGTAGTGGTTGCCTGGAACACGGTATTGAGAAGGATTCTAAGGGTGGACTTGGGATCCTCTCAAAAAAAGTTGCTGAAGGAGACTCGATGCCATACATGAACATAGGAGAGGAGAGAAAAGAAACTGGATTAGCCATGGATTAGCCAACTTTGTTATAGATCCCCATGGATGTTTCTATTCAGCTAGATCAACATGTGGTCTTAAAGACTTCTTTCTATCCTCATAGTTCTATAAAAATTCATTTTCCATTTGATCTGCTAACACTCTATTCCCTGATTTTAAAAGTTTACAGTCTAAAATGGCAAATATGACATTTGAGATAGAATGTGGTAATGAAAAGGAAAGATATCAAGTGTTAGTGAAATGGTCCTTGAAGACTGGTTAGCAACACGTAGAAGACAAGGCGGGGAGAGACAGTCCTGGTGGAGAGTAAATGACAAAGATAGATTTTAAAGTGTAAGTCCTATCCTATTAAGGAAAAATGGTCTCGAGTTTGTGAAAGAGAAATCAAAGGTCAGTTTAGAATGATAGGCGTGAGTTCTGTCACAGGACTGTGAATGCCTCACTAAGGAGTACAGATATACTGAAGTAAGCTGACGTACAATAGATGGTTTTGAACATAATCAGGGTTATACATCAGAGTGAACAAACACAATGCTAAGCAGAGTCTACTCTGAAGAAATAGGAAGATGATTCAATCTTAGAAAAAAATCTATCTACCAAAAAATCTGTGTGCTCTTATCAATAGATGCTGAAAATGCATTGATGAAATTCAGCAGACTTGTTTTTTGTTTTTTTTTGAGTTGAAGTCTCACTCTGTCGCCCAGACTGGAGTGCAGTGGCTGCTCCCGGCCACCGCAGCCTCGACCTGCTGGGCTCCGGCGATCCTTCCGCCTCAGCCTTCCGAGTAGCCAGAATTACAGGCATATGCTACCATGCACGGCTGATTTTTTTTAATTTATTGTAGAGACGAGGTCTCGCTGCCCAGGCGGGTCTCAAACCCGCGGGTTCAGGCAATCCACTCACCTCAGCCTCCCAAAGGCGCGGGAGCAGACTTGTTTTTAAAAAGCCAAAGTAAACTAAGAAGAAAAAGTCTAAGCTTGATAAATACCATTTAAATTGTAAAATACTAAAAGACATGTACATTGAAATCAAATGTAATTCTGAAATGCCTACTATTTTCACTGTTTTAAATAGTCTTTGGATAACATATCAAGATTTTAAAGTAAGTAATTGAAGTATTAGAAAATAAGAGTCAAACAGGCACTATAAGCATACAATATTTATTTTATACACAGAAAACCCAAATAAGACTCATAAACTGACAGGATGTAAAGTTACTATACAAAATAACATTTGTCCATTATATTAGAAATAACTTTATCAAAATGGAAATGGAAAAAAAATCACTCCTTTTGCAATGGAAATGAAACCCATGAAATACCCAAGGATAAACTTAGCTAGATAGGGATAAAAGAAAAGAATAACATTTTATTGAAGGCCATAAAATAAGACCTGAGAAAATGGAAAGTTATATTTTCCTTAAAGGAAAATGCTTAATATCATGAAATTGTAAATTCTTCTCAATTTAGTATAGGAATTCAAGGCAGTTCAAGTCAGAATCATAGCATTTTTTGTTTCATTTTTGGAAAATAACAGTAGCTAACATTATTGAGTGCTTACTATGTGCCTGACACTATTTTAACATTTTATATGAGTTCCTGCTCACGACCACACAAGGAAGTAGTATCATTTATATAGTCTCACTTGATAAGAAAACTAAAGCGAAAATAGGTTGAGTAATTGCCCAAGTTCATACAACTAGTAAGTGGAAGAATCAGGATTCAAACCTAGAGAGAGCAGGAAATCTATATGTATTGATTAGAAAAGTTCCCATGAGATTTTTCTATAAATTGAAATAATAGACAAAATATAATACTACCTCTGATTTTTTAAAAAATATGAAAACTGAAAACCCAGCCACAGAAAAACCTATATGTATGTATGTGTATATGTTTGCATAAGACTTTCCTTTTTTTTTTTTTTTTGAGTTGGAGTCTCACTGTCACCTAGGCTGGAGTGCAGTGGCATGCTCACGGTTACCACAGCCTTGACCTGCTGGGCTCAGGTTATCCTTCCACCTCAGCCTTCCAAGTAGCTGGAACTACAGGCATGCGCCACCATGCCCAGCTAATTTTTTTATTTATTGTAGAGATGAGGTCTCACCAAGTTGGCCAGGTTGGTCTCGAACCTGTGGGCTCATGTAATCCTCTCACGTTGGCCTCCCAAATACTGGCATTATAGGAGTGAGCCACTGTGACTGGCCTGCACAAGACTTTCAAAGTGGAAAAAGATTTACCGCAAATTGCTATAATTGGTAACTACAAGCAATTGAACAGAGAAGGGAAGAGCAAAACAATCATTTTCCTTTTTAATCCTTTGTTGTTTGAAGGCCTGATCCAAATTAGTAGTAACGGGAATTAAGAGGAAAAAAGACCATTGGGAGATGCAACACAGAAAGAGGGTAAAGGAGATTTGACGACTGTTTGGATGTGGGTGGGAGTCAGATGAAGAAGCTGAAGATGCTTCAGCGACTTCTAACCTGAGTGACTGAGGAATCATGCTGGCATTTATAGAAACAAGGAAGCATGAGGAGGCTAAGTGAATTATTTTTTATTGTTACCAGAGGAGAGATGATAAGTTCAGGTTATCAATCAAAGCTATGCTGCCTCTTGTTTTAAATAATAATTGCTCCAACGGGAAAGCTTCTTTTCTTCATCTTAAAACCTCAAAGAATATGTTGCTTTAATTAAAGGGTGAATTTAGAATGTATGAATTATAGCTCAATAAAGAATTTCCCCAGCATGGTGGCTCACATCTGTAATTCCAGAACTTTGGGAGGAAGAGGTAGGAGGATTGCTTAGAGTCCAGGAGTTTGAGACTAACCTGGGCAACAACAAACTAAATAATTAGCCAAGCATGTTGGCATGTCCCTGTAGTCTCAGCTACTTGGGAGGTGAAGCAGAAGGATCACCTGAGCCCAGAAGGTGGGAGTTGCAGTGAGCCATGATCGTGCCACTGCACTCCAGCCTGAGTGACAGAGTGAGACCCTGACTCAAGTAATATAATAATAATAACAACAGCAACAGCAAGGAGAAGAAGAAGGAGAGAGAAAAGGTAAAAAAAGAGGAAGAAGAATTTTTAGTGCTGTTTTATAGTTGCACGTTATGTGAATTATAGAACTAAAAGTAGATTGTTGTCTATTATTTTACCTCATTCATGCATGTTCCAAAACTAGAACATTTCTCTTTGAATCAGAAAAAAATTATTACAGCAATTTAAAATGATTTCAAACACATGTAGAAAAGTAAGCTTTCCTATTATACACAAAGTGACAGAGACTTAAAAAATGGCCTGAATAATTTTTGTTCTGTATGTTTCTTTTGTGTCGTTTTAACATAAAATAAAAACCTTCAGAGTACTGGGTGATTATGATACTGTGTGAGATCAAAAGATGATTTATATTATTGACTGATTCTTTAAGTTGGGTTCAACTATGTGTAGACCCCCTTTGGAGAAAATAGAACGGAAGTAATAAGCTTGCAAGAGTTACTCCTCTGGCAAGTACATTTGCAACTCAATGTTTAGTACATGTGTAAAAGTATATTGTTGCTAACAAATATTCTACAAAGGCAGCCTTGCCAAAATCTTTAGATCTAAAGAGAGCTTGAGTACTTTTACTCCATAGAAACCAACACTAGGAACTTAGTCCCTCTGAGAATTTATTTCTTGCGAATACTGTCAAAATGCTGAGTGAATTCATTTCTATATAATTATATTTTATATTGGGGCTAAAACAGAAGTATGTAATTCATAAGTATGAGGTTTTTGCATAGATATGTGAGTCAACAAAGTCACCTGAATAAATCCTTTTAATTTTAATTCCCAGTTATATGGAAATCAGCCGCCTGTGCTCACCTTCCTTCTCTATTCACCATTGGTTATACTGTCACTTCAAACACTACTCCTGTGTTCATCTTTCTTAGTTGAATTGTGTGGAGCCTTCCATGGAAAATGTTTTTTTATATTACATTTGTTATCCCTAATCTGAGTTAAGACAGGACATTTCTGTAATGGCCATGTTTTTATTTTGTGTCTGAAGAATTTCATAAATTTCAGAATCTTCAGAGAACTGGGTGGTTATGATAGTGTGTGAAATCAGAGGATGATTTATTTTATTGACTAATTCTTTTAAGATGGGCTCAGCTTATGTAGTCCTCCTTTGGGGAAAATAGAACAGAGGTAATAAACTTAATAGTTGGCATATTTCTTGTTTTCCAGAAAATAAATACTGCTGGAACCAGTAATGCAGATGTCCCTTTGGCTGATCCCGGAATGTACCAGTTGGACATTACATTAAGAAGGGGTCAAAGTTTAGCTGCCCGTGATCGAGGAGGTAAGAACTTAAGATCAATATCACCTAGAAGCTTTTTAATATGTTTATGACAAACTTTGCTTCTCTTATGATTGCCTATATTTTAAAAAAATAGCTATAATGTTATAATTTTTAGAAATTTGGATTCAAAGACACAGTTTGACCTTACTTGACTCCTGTGACCATGGAGGAAGAGGTGTTGATGCATGTTCTAAAACTCTGACCTATCCTCAACCCAGACCCCAACCAGGAAGGTCCCTATCAGACTCCTGGCAAATCAAACTCTACATTCTGTATAAATAGTGACACAATTGGTTCCATAGGTAAGGCATATATTTGAAGGTGTTTCAGAATTTACCTTATTGTAGGCCTGAAATACTTTTTGCTACACAGATTTGCTCAGTTGAAACTGCTAAAGTTGCAGGATCCAGAACTAACATCTCACCAAAGCTTTGGATAATCCTAACAAGTGATCTTCTGAGGTTTGGTTGGACCTAGCAATAGCCTCATGATGGATTAAACGAGTCTATAGGCCATGATGAAGGACAAGACAAAACAAAAACTCTTTAGCTCCTGGCTTCCAAACCCAAGACAATCTCCTGATGAACTAAACAAGGCCACATGAGGGATTTCTTGAACCCAGGTTAGAGGCATCCTTTGCACATTTTGAAATACCAGCGTGCAGGAGGCTGAGACCTTGAGGGCCCCGGGAGCCCCCATTCTCAAAGGAACCTGAGTTTGGATGTAACCCCACCCACCAGGAGGAAGAGAGTCCTTTAGCCTATACTGCCTCCTTGTTAGACAACCTTGAGGGTGTTCCTGGCACCATACGATCCCGTGTTTTTTCTCCTATCCTGTTTGACATCCCTACTCAGGGAGTAGAAGGAACCAGATTGGGGCTGCAGTTTATAATTTCTGTCTTCTATCTCTAAAGGAATAAAATGAGAAAATAATATAATACTAGTGTTTTATGACTAGAAACTGTACAAATAGTAGATTAAATTTTAAGTAAAATCTAGTAAATATCAAAATATTCTTTTTTTTTTTTTTTTGAGTCAGGGTCTCACTCTGTAGCCCAAGCTGGGGTAGTGGGGTAGAAGCATGATCACAGCTCACCACAGCCTCAATCTCCTGGGCTTAGGTGATCTTTCTACCTCAGCCTCCCAGGTAGCTGGGACTACGGGCATGCTACCATGGGTTAATTTTTTGAAGACATCTTACTATGTTGCCTAGGCTGGTCTCAAACTGCTGGGCTCAAGCAATCCTCTCGCCTCAGCATCCCAAAGTGCTGGAATTACAGGCGTGAGCCACAACACCCAGTCTAAAACATTTATAATGGGTGAAGATGCGATTGAAAATGTTAGAATTTAAACAGGTAGGAGAAGTTTTGAAAATAACTATCTGGTTTAGTAGCTGAGGACAAATACTTTTTGAATTTAACTGCCTGCCTCAAAAAAAAAGATTAATTAGATTTAAGAAAGAAAATACTACAAATAGCTATATTTACAGTGAATATAACATATTTTAGATTTCAAAGTGCTCTTAATCATATCACATCATTTGATCTAAACCAGAATTGGACCAAACTACAGAAAGTCAAAATTTTAGTCCTAGATAACCCCCCAACAATTTGAAACATAGATACATATAATTATTTATTGTAGCATTGCTTATATTTATAAAATATTGGAAAGAACCCAAATACCATATAAGGATGTGGTTGGATAAACTATGGTATATCTGCATGAGAGAATTCTATGCAGCTGTAAAAAATGAATAAGGAAAATCTCTAGGAATTTCTATTAAAAAATTTACAGGATATATTGTGAAGTTTATTTAAGCAAAATACAATTGAATATCCACAATCTACAACGTTTCATGTAAGAAAGAGGAGGTGTAAGAAGTTGTATACTGTCTACTCATTTGTACAAAAAGAAGTACAGGAAACCATGGCCAGAGGCTAAACCAACTGGTAATGAATAGAATTTGGGTAAGACAGGTGGCAAGAATGTGGGTCAGGGGAATGGGGTAAAATGGGTGAGGAGGAAATGACATTTCTCCTAGTAAATTTTCTTGTATAGTTCTCTTTAACTATGACAATATTTTAGCATTCCAAAATAATTAATTAGTTAGTTAATTAAATTCAGTCAGGATTGTGGGAGGAACTCAAAATGGAATATGACAATAATCTTTTTTTTTTTTTTTTTCGAGTTGGAGTCTCACTCTGTCGCCCAGGCTGGAGTGCAATGGCATGATCACAGCCACTGCTGCCTCGACCTGCTGGGCTCAGGTGATCCTTTTACCTCAGCCTTCCAAGTAGCTGGAACTACAGGCATGTGCTACCATGCCCAGCTAATTTTCTATTTATTTATTGTAGAGATGAGGCCTCACCAAGTTGCCCAGGCTGGTCTCGAACCCCTGGGTTCAGCAATCCTCTTGTCTCGGCCTCCCAAAGTGGTGGGATTATAGGCATGAGCCACCGCGCCCAGCCTATAGCAATAATCTTATCTCAATAGAATGGGAAATAAAACAAGTCACCTAAGTAACCCTGTAATATGGTACTTGAATTATATATCCAGGCATACTTTGGAGATATTTTGAGTTCATTTACACACCACCACAATAAAGCAAATATCACAATAAAGCAAGTCGTAGGAAGTTTATATACACACAGTACATATAAAATTAGGCTTACACTATACTTAGTTTTAAGTATGCAGTAATATTATGTCTATAAGAGCACTGTACATACCTTAATTTAAAAGTACGTTATTGCTAAAAAAAAAAATGCTCACTGTCATTTGAATGTTCAGTGAGTCATAATCTTTTTGCTGGTAGAGGGTTTAGATGTTGATGGCTACTGACTGATCAGAGTGGTGGTTGCCAAAGGTTGGGGTGGCTGTGGCAATTTCTTTTTTTTTTTTAGAGTTGTTGGCTACATGTGAGGATTTGCCACGTAGGTATATTGCATGAAGGCAAGGCTTGGGCTTCTAACCAGCCCTCTCTCCTCCAGTATTGGACCTGGTACCCATTGGGTAGTTTTGTATCCCTTATGCTCCCTTCTTTAGCAGTATCTGTTGTTCCTGCCCTTGTGTCCAGGAGCCCAATGTTTAGTGCTCACCTATGAATGAGAACATGTGGTATTCAATTTTTTGGTTTCTATGATAATTTATTTAGAATGGTGATCTCAATTGCATCCATGTTGCTGCAAAGGACATGATTTTGTTCTTCTTCATAGTTGTTTAGAATTTCATTGTGTATATATACCACATTTTCTTTAGCAGTCCTCTTATGAGGGATATCTGGGTTGGTTCCATGTTTTTGCTATTGTGAATAGTGCTGCAATGAACATTAGTGTGCAGGTGTCTTTTGGGTAGAGCAATTTGTGTTCTTCTGGGTACCTTCCCAGGGGTGGGATTGCTAGGTCAAATTGTAGCTCAATTTTTAGTTCTTTGAGAAATCTTCAAAGTGCATTCCACAAAGGTTGAATTAGCTTACATTCCCACCAACAGTGTACAAGTGTTCCTTTTTCTCCACAGCATCACCAACAACTGTTGTTTTTGACTTTTTAATGGTAGCCATGCTAACCGGTGTGAGATGGTATCTCATTGTAATTTTGATTGTGGCTTCTAAAATAAGACAACAATGAAGTTTCCTGCATCGATTAACTCTTCCATTTATAAAAGAGTTTTCTGTAGCTGTTTGTTAGCATTTTACCCACAATAGAACTTTCAAAATTGAAATCAATCTCCTCAAACCCTGCCACTGCTTTAGCAAATAAGTTTATGTGCTGTTTTAAATCCTTTGTTGTCATTTCAACAATATTTACTGCATCTTCACCAGGAGTAGATTCTGTCTCAAGAAGCCACTTTCTCTGCTCATCCATGGGAAGCAACTCCTCATCTAGTCAAGTTTTATCATGAGATTGCAGCCATTTAGCCACATCCTTAGGCTCTACTTCCAATTCTAGGTCTCTTGTTCTTTCTATCATATCTGCTGTTATTTCTTCCACTAAATCTTGAACCCCTCAAAGTTGACCACTGAGGTTAACATCAACTTCTTCCAAACTCCTGTTAATATTGATATTTTGACTTCATTTTAAACATCACAGATGTTCTTAATGGCATTTAGAATGATGACTCTAGCCAGGCACGGTGGCTCAGCCTGTAATCTCCCGCTTTGGGAGACTGAGGTAAGTGGATTGCCTGAGCCCGCGGGTTCAAGACCCCCCTGGGCAACTTGGTGAGACCTCATCTCTACAATAAAAAAAAAAAAAAATTGAAAAATCAGCCGGGCATGGTAGCGCGTGCCTGTAATTCTGGCTACTAGTAAGACTGAGGCGGAAGGATCGCCGGAACCCAGTGGGTCGAGGCTGCAGTGGCTGGGAGCAGCCACTGCACTCCAGTCTGGG